GTCTACCTCACAAATACCTCCATAAACTTCAACTTGTTCAGAACTCTTCAGCTCGAATAATCACCAGAACCCCCTCCATCCACCACATCACCCCTGTTCTACAGCAACTCCACTGGCTCCCGGTCAAACTCCGCATAGACTTCAAAATCCTCCTGTTTATGTTCAAGGCCATCCACAACCATGGGGAGCAGGGCTTTCAGCCGCTCTGCTCCCCAACTCTGGAACTCACTCCCACCGGACCTCAGGAACCTGGACTCTCTCAAACTCTTCAAATCAATTTTTATGTGTTGTAAGGTGTCCTCGAGAGCCCAGAGAGGCACCTTTACATAAAATGTATTATTATTATTATAATCTAACCGACTGTGTTTAAATGCACTCTTATTCCAAATATGACAATAAGCTCATGTAAACAGCAGATTCTGTCCAAAAGGATTTAGAGAGGGCCTGAAATGAGCCGGTACTCACTGATACTGACCTTTGTCCCCCTGAGAGGAGCACCGGGCTTTAAGGAACTGTCTTACAGGTTCTTATTGTTTTATCTGGTTGAAGTTTATTTAAAGTAACAGTAAAGAAATCAAAGACAAAAACTGATCATTTTATGACTTTAATTTTTCGTAACATGGATTTTAAAAAGTCCTTTATAAATGAATAAAGATTAAGAGCTGACATGTTGGAGTGTTTTAATCGGAGACTGATGAATTTCAAGCTGTTTGTTTGTTTGTTTGTTTGCAGATGTAAAACTGAAAGTGTGAGGATGTGGAACAACAGGTTCATTAAACCGGAAAGTCCCAGAAATTCCACAGTTTCCTTCCTGACACCGGATCAGGTGACCAGTAAACAACCTCAAACTAACAAAGAGTTACCATCAGCACCAGTCTGAGGGAGATTCATGTCTACTGTCTACTGACTGTTACAGAAACACACACAGAGACGTTAACGGAGCTAAAGACATTAGGAGTAAAAGAGAAACTTATTAACGAGGAAATAAATAAAATCTTTCTGAATCAGGTTTCACTTACAGTTTGTAAGTGATGACAACAACAACAACAAATACAACTACACACTGGTTTTAAATATACGTTTTATAAAAGGTGTGTGTGTGTTACCTTGTTCATCGGATGTCAAAGAAGTGCTGGAAAAAGAAATCACAGAATTAAAATGTGACTCCTTTCAGTGCTGCGAGTAGTGATTATTATTGATTATCTTTTGAGTTCACTATTTTCTACAAACAGTTGACTGATTATTGCTCAACAGAAAATTAATTAGATAATAATCAAAGTAATTCCAGCTTCGGTTTAAGACGTCAACTTGGGCTGTGGGAAATATAATATTCTCCACAATTTTCTGACAATTAATAATTGATAGATGAAAGATAATAAATACAATCTTTCAGCCCTGATGAGATTAACACATTTCTTACCTCTTTTCAGTCCAAACAAACCTTAAATACTGAATTCTACTATTTTGTTTAAGTAAGAATTCCCACTGTAAAGATCTTCCATTAAAGCATGTATGTATATTTGTATAAATGTAATATTTGATTGTTTTTATTATCTACAACTTATCTATAAAGTCCACAAAGACACAGAACAGAGAAATAAAGCTGTGTGTCTGCCAACGTACCCAGTGGTTGGTTCCACAACCAGATCGGGCATCCCCGTAGAAGCTCCCTGGCTCACCACCGGCCCCTCGTGGTCCAGGATAAAAACCTCGTCCTGGCAGATTTCTGTCACAAAGTGGAGGTGCTCCTGCAGACACAGAGCGATGTAAATATACGAGCAGACGTTGGGATGATAAAACATTTGAGTCAGAATCAAACACGAGTTCAGTTTACCTGAGCCTTGTCGATGCGATAGAAGCGATCAGCTGACGTGGCTGTAGAGCAGAGTCATGAATGTCAACAGGAAACACTTCAGAAATATGTTAGACTCTTAACTTTATCAGCTGAAAACACTTCTTTTAAACTGTCTCTATATATTACATGTATACATTTCCTTTAAATTACACTTTATATACATTTATAGTGTACATGTAACTCCTATTTATTGTGTTGTGTTTGAGCTTTTTATTATAATATGTATTTATTTATTTAGGCAGCATAAAGACAATTCTGTCTAAATGTCATTTTTGTGCTGTGAATGACAATAAAATAATCTTGAATCCTTAAATCAAGTTTGACTTTTGACTTTATATTTTTACTACATGTATTTTGTTAAAGCTTTTTATAACCATGTTTAAAAAAGAGCTGTGCAAATAAATTGTGAAAACCAAGAAGATAAAGGTTTGATGAGGAACTTGAAGGAGGTGGAGTGATCAATAGGGATAGAGATTTATAAAAAGGCCTGAAGATTCAGCAAATCTGAACAATTGGGGAAGTTGATTCCAAAACGTTGTTCCTAAAACAGCAAAGGCGCGGTCAGCTTTATTTTTTTAGTTGGGGGGAGAATGAGGAACGATGTCGTTTAGCACTTTATATGTAATCAGCAGGATGGGAGATGATTCTGCTTTTATTAACTATGGGAGGTTTAAGGAAGCTGCACTGAGACACTTTTTGTACAGTTTTGTAACAGGATGGTCATATGCTGGTTGTTTTCTTCCTGCTTCTTTTCTCTGCAGTTTTCTCTTGTGTTACTACAACTGAAACTGGCCAATCCTCATGCCAAGCCCTCAGTATAAAAAGCCTGGCTGATAGTTCACTCTCTCTGATATTGACTCTGCTGTCTGTGCTGCTACGGTATGTGTTGGGAGGTTTAGGACTAGTTAAGTTTCCCTGTACACGTAGATAAACTCTGGTTGGTGCCACCTCTAGTTGAGCCTTTTGTTTGTATTTGGTTTCTAGTGGTAGTTGTTAGTAAGGGCCAGTTATGTTTTATTATTTTCATTTGTCACATTTGTAAATAAATCACCGTTAACTGTCACAGTTACTTTGACTTTGCAGGTTTGACTTTTGAGCAAAATGGTTCAATAAACTTGATAAGTGACAGAATTGTCAGGTCCAGTTAAAATAATTTGTTCTGTCAGGACTTAAGTGAAGAAAATTAAGACACAATTAATCTTGCTGCGCAGTCACTGAGTGAGGACCATTGATTCAGGTTATTGGGTTTTGCAATTATTTGCAGAAATAAATCAGTGTATCTTCAGCATAACGCCGATATGACATGTTGTTGAGTAAAAAAAGGATGTGTACTGTAAGGATATACATAATTTAGTCATAGTTGTTTTTCATATGTGTGTCAAAACAAACACAATAAATTAGATTTATTTGGGTTTTTTCTTTATAAAATGTTCATCTTTATAATTTATCTGAATGACAGAACCTTCATCGGTCGACTGATCTGTACAACAGGTGTCAGTGTATCCACTCACAGTCCAAGAAGCTCCAGTTGGGAGAGAGTCTACTGGTTGAACTGGTCCTGGGGACTCCTCTGTTCTCATCCTGAAGACAAAGAGATAGACACTGTGATCTTTATCGTTTCTTTACTGGACAGTAAACTAGAAAAGTTTAAGAGGGTGATTATTTGAAGAGAGAGAAAGCAAAAGAAAGGAATTCATACAGATTATTTTTGAGCAGTTGAACAATCAATAGCAAGACGGAGACAATCAGGACAATGAGGCAGTAAATGTGTAGTGTAGTTTAAATTAGTGTTGTCCTCTTCTCTCACCACAGCTAATACAGATCAGTTTATATTTGACATGTCCAGAAACATATTTTCCAACATGGGTGTCAGTCTGTAAAACATTGAATTATTGTATTTAGCTTCTTTTTGTAGGTCAGTTCTTAATATTAAAGTTTATAGTGCAGGGGTCTCAAACTCCAGACGTTCTCTGTAGCAGCGTAGTTCATTTCCAGCCCTGTACTATAACTCTCATACATCCTGCTCTGAATGTTTGCCTACATTTCCACCACCATTTTATAAATGTTAACACTTTTCTCCTAAATGATAGCAGATCTAATCTAAAACCATCACAGGCTCGTATATAATATCTATATCTATATATCTGTTACTGGCTAAGATAACCAGGTGAATTAGATTGTAATGTGCATGAAATAACTTTTCTTATATCATATCGGTCGACCACTACTTGAGATTATATTTCTGTATTCTGTTTGTCTATGATTTATGAGTTAGCCTTTCCATTGAACTCCACAAAGATACACTGCAATGTCCTGTTGTTTTGTGTTATACACCATGTGTGCCAAATGTGGGAGCTCCTCTGAAGTAGTTAAATAAAAAAAAAAGGATCAGGAAGAGTCAGAACACAAGCAACCATCAGCTGTTAAAGCCAGGGCTGAAGGTGTGTGAATATCTTAAGAGAGTCCAAGGTCAGTGCTCTGAGAGTGGAAAGTCCCCGGTAGTACTGCAGATGTACAGCAGAGTGCCGAGTCAGCAAGACCAGCACACGACAAAGAAAGTACATGTTCAGGGTGGAGTTCACAGAGAGTTCAGGAAATAGAAATAAAAACCTGATTTCCTGTCCTATATTTGGACAAACGTGATTTATTTGTCAAGGGGTTGTGATTTGATAAAGGAGCTCAATACAATATATACACAATATATAATATATTAGTTATTATAACAGAAAAGTTAGTTTAGTTAGAGTCCATTATGTATTTTTAAGGATAAGAATGAATTTTTCATGTTTTCAGTTCAGTAAGGATCATCTTTGTTGTCCGCAGCCAAGGTAAAATTGTGTTTTTTATTTTAATTTTAAATGAAGGGGAAGTTCAAATTGGTGAGAAACAACTAGAAAGAATAATAAATGATATTTTTAACAGCATGTTGTGGGCCAGAAGTGGCCCCTGGGCTGGCAGTTTGAGACCCCTGGTGTTGTGTAACCCAGTGCTTTATTTCCATACTTTATAGAGCTGCTAACACTGCTATCATATAACTCTCCAAAAGTGTTGGTTTTTTTTAACAGTTTCAAGAATATAATTCCTAGTAAATGTTCTTGAAATGCTGACACAGATGTTAGGCATTGTAAAGAGATTTAGAAATGTTATATATGTAACAAATAGCTTCAAAACTAATAATAACCAAACTCTTCCTGCAGAAAGACACCCAAAAGTCATATACCTGATAGTGCACTCTGTGGCCAGTAGATGGCGCCTGGTGTAAGTCCTAGCAAGCACAGCAGACAGGTTTCAAGGTTAACACACAGCCAAAGCATTTACATCAAAAAATTCCACAGATGTTAGTCAGCGAACGTTTCCCACGTCAGACACACGGCTAAAGAGCAGCTCTGCATTCCCACTGGAGCTTATGGTCTATGAATAACGGGTGGAGAGATGGTGCTGCAGGCAGAGAGAAACAGAGGAGGAAGGAAGAAAGGAGAAGTAATGCTGAGAATGAGGGTGAAGATAAGCAGGAACTTGCCTCTTGTAGTCTGTCAATATAGAGTCTGCATGTCTCCAGGTCACAGTCGCCCCTCACCACCACGATGCCGACTGGGATGGCTGCAATACACAAACACACATTTCAGACCACAAAGCACCGACAAAGTGAGTTCAACCTGCATGTTCTTCCAACCAAGGGAGGCAGAGACAAGCTGGAAACACTGATTTTATCACTTTTTTCACTGATTACAGCCACTCTGATAACCAGTCTTTGGATCTTGGAGAATTCACACACAGACAGTGTCGTGTATGAACGCTCTAAAAGAGCTCTGCTCACTGAATGTGGTGATGTTTTTGATGAATGGTGAACTAAATGACTCTGTTTGAATCTAATGAACGAGGATGTGTGTTGTTTAAGGTCCTGTGTGTAACATTGAGGAGGATCTATTGTCAGAAATGGAATATAATATCCGTGGGCATATTGTTATGAGTTTATAATTAAAGAGCAACCTCCTACACACTGGTCTTATGACTCCTCTGACAGTTAATGACACACACTGTTGAGCTAAAACTGGAATTAAAAAAGGTAGATACCAGGAGGAACTTTAGTTTCACTTTCATTTTCTGATGGAGATTTTACATCTGCACACTCATTAAAGGACCAGTATGTAGGATTTAGTGGCATCTAGTGGTAAAGTTTTAGATTGCAGCTAACTGAACACTGCTGGCGGCCTGGGAAGGAGAAAGGGTTGTGAAGCCCTACAGACAGTATCTTACCTACTGTAGAAATAAACCAGCTGTAGATTAAAACCAGCTCATTGTAAGGTAACAAAAACACATTGATTCTTATATCCAGGTGATTATACACTAATAAAAACATACCTGTGAATATTATATTATTTTTGATCACAAGAAATCTTTAACAAAGGATAGAACACAAGGTTCCTCCACACAAACTCAGAGCATTTTCTAAAGCAGCTCATTAGAAACATAAATGAGGAGAAATAAACGTTGGCGTGTGAAGCGAACCCTGAGCTCGCCCTGAGAGCCTTACAGATGTCTCGTAGCCGCTCTTTGTCGTACTGCAGCCGGTCGTACTCCTGGAGGCTGATCCGGTTCACTCGGAGACGCAGACGATCTGGAACCGCGTGAGGACTGGAAACAAAAACACACACAAGTGCATATACGTGCACACACACACACACACACACACACAGTTCAGACGTGTCCACATATACATCGGTGAGGACACACACACGCACAGATGCACACATCACAAACCAGAGCTGAGCTTTTGCAACACAATGACGTTCAATCAGATTCCTTACAGTTACTGTCTGCAGGTTTTCTCTCTGAGCTTTTAAAGTCTGATAACTGGATGTTTGTGAGAGGCAGTAAAAGTAATAACCCCCCCCAGTGGTGGCAGAGCTTTTACTGTAAAGATAAAGGGCTCTGCTATCCTCCTACAAAACACTGCTGGTCACACAGCAGCTGTCTGCCCACCCTCTAAAGCTCAAACCCTTACCTGCAGAGGATCAGAAAGGGGGTCAGATCAAAGTACATTAGCGTCACTTTTATCTTTCTCAGTCACAGCTCAAGCAAAATTACAAAAAACTGCTTTTCTGGGGGGGGGAGGGAACGGACATCAAGTGAAAGCAAAGGAGTGGTGCAGCTCTAATAAGAGCACAGCTCAGGGTGAAGTTAAAGGGAAAGGGACTACAGCGGGAAGAACATCCAGACGAGAGGCAGAAGCACACTGAGAGGTGGAAAGGCTTCAGCATGCTGCCATACAGTCTCTCTCTCAGTCTGTAGTTAACAACGTCACATCCAACAGCACTCCACTCGGGTTCGACCAATGCAGCGTACAAAATGTCTGCACAATGTTTGTTTTACAGTGTTTAAAGATTCAGGGGCTGAATACAGCATCTGAGGCCGACAGGAGGACGGTTCGATGATCCAAATAAATATCTGAGTATGAAATAAGATAAAAGTTAGCGGAGGAGAATGTAGTGCAAAGAGTATGAACATATAATAAATCAGAATCAAATCAAAACAAATATAACGAAATATAATAATAAAATATATATAATAAAGGTTTATTTATCACGTGCAGTAAATTATATAGTGAGAGTTGTGATTAAAGACCAGTTAGAGAAATAGAAATATAAAAGGACAGAAAGTTAAGATAGAATAAAATATATGTGTGTGTGTATAAAAACTGCAGGTCTGACAGTGTGCAGTGCTGTTACCACTGAAGGTACATGAGCTCCCTCTAGTGGTAGGTGGAGGACTCTCCAACATACTTCTTTTTGAATTAAATGAATTAAAACATATAATATTATCATAATACTGCAGATGGATATATGCTGAAATGTAATTTAAAATAATGCAGTATAGCAGCACTCACACTGTAAGCCAATAAAATAATGACGCTGACACTTGCTATGGCAGACGCAGTCAAACTAAATGTCCTGTCATATAAAATAATGTCATATAATTTAATGAATTAGTATTTAATTGGTAATTTAATTATCAAACGATGGTGAATTGTGGGTAAAATTATCATTATGTAAACTAACTGTAATCATTTTTTACACATTCTGTGATCAACCAAACTGCATCATATCAATCAGAAACTGGTTTTAATATCATCTTATTATTGATCGAACCGGAGACAGACACACACACACACACACACACACTGTTACACACAGTGACAGAGGGCTGAGGTACTTACACAGAGAAGGAGTCTGGGGGAGCAGAGAGGCGGCGCAGATCAGCTGCACACACCTTCTGAATACTACCGCCGCACACCCACACACACACACACACACACACACACACACACACACACACACAGGAGAGAGGAGGAACGTATGGCGAAGGAGAAAGGAGAGACGGGTGAGGAGGAGAGGAAAGGGAGAGAAAGAAAAGAAATGAAATGAAAGAGAGGAGAAGAGGAAGGAAACAAATGAAAATAATAAATAATCCAAAAGATCAGACATGTTTTTCCAAAAAGAGGAGGAGAGACAGGAGGAGAGACAGGGGGAGGAAGAAGAGGAGGAACAGGAGGAGAGACAGGAGGAGAGACAGGGGGAGAGACAGGGGGAGAGACAGGAGGAGAGACAGGGGGGAGAGACAGGGGGGGGAGGAAGAAGAGAAGGAACAGGAGGAGAGACAGGAGGAGAGACAGGGGGAGAGACAGGGGGAGGGACAGGAGGAGAGACAGGGGGAGAGACAGGAGGAGAGACAGGGGGAGAGACAGGGGGAGAGACAGGGGGAGGGACAGGGGGAGAGACAGGGGGAGAGACAAGGGGAGGCAGAGGAGAAGAAAAGCCCAGAGGTAAGTAGACAAACATTGATAGCACAGAGTACAGTAGCATACAGTACATAGAGCAAAGACATTAGTTACTGCAGCTACAGGGACTCCTCTCCTGTCTGTCTGTCTGTCTGTCTGTCTCATTACTGTGCAGCTGCAGACAGACACACATTAATACACAGAGATATACAGGAAGAGATATTAGTGCTACGGGGCGGAGGAGAGTTAGTCGCCACATAATCAATAAACGTTTTATTGTGACACGGCGGCGGGGAAACCACGCCGTATCACGTGTCCCTGCGTGTCAACGGAGACGTCTCGGCAGCTTAATGAGAGTGGACAACACACACACACTCTGGTTGTGGTTTGGCGAGCTGAGGAAGAGGAGTGAATGTCAGCTCCCACTAAACAGATTGTATGACTCACTCAGTGCTTTAACAACAGTGCTGGCCTAGTTCCTCTGTGTGTGTGTGTGTGTGTGTGTGTGTGTGTGTGTGTGTGTGACTCACTCGTTGAGCAGGGGCACAGAGGTGCGTCTCTTGCTCTTCTGGACCATGTTGGCCTGATTTCGAAGGGAGATGCGGAGAGTGGAGGGAGCCAATCGACAGGGCTCACCGTCCACCTGCACACACACACACACACACACACACACACACACACACACACACACACACACACACACACACACACACACACACACACACACACACACACACACACACACACACACACACACACACACACACAGGGTTAATCAATTAACCTGGACTCTATCTGACCACAGCTTTATTAGAGATTATTATTCCTTCAGCAAATGAATTGTATCTTTGTGGTAAAATGGTTCCATAGCGCCTCCTAGAGAACAGAGCAGCCCCGGCATCCTGTCTCACTGAGATGTGTGAAGGTCAGGAGGCTCGTGCATCGTGTTTAGACGTATAAAAAAGCCTCTTGGACCCAAACCCCAAACCCAACAGGAAGGCAGCCATTTTGAGTTTAACGTTGAATATTGGTGCTGTTTTTGCTCCCGTTGTTTTGTCCCGGCACTACTGACTGACTGACAGCTGTTGATTTAACCTGGGTCATATGAGCTGTCTGGGGCACAGTTGATTACAATGTCCATGCTCCTGATTTTGTGAATTTACTTTAAACTACTTGAATGTACCTTATAAATAAAACCACATATTTGATAAATATTAAAGTCATAAACAGGAAGAAGAATGTGGAGTTTATGAAACACAGGATTGTTTAATATCTGTGTCTCATAATGTGTACGTGCTCACCTGGACAGGTACAGTCTTGAAGGTAGTGAGGATGACCTCTCTGCACTGGTGCAATCTCTCTCCGTGACCGCCGACCTGTAGCGCCGCCTGGTGGACGAGAGGGAGATTCACACCAACGGTTGCAGTAACAGGAGGAACATTAACACTCATTCAGTACTCATTCAGTACCCCGGTTCTCACCAGCGAGGCCATGGTGAAGCCGATAACCTCGATGCAGCCGTCGTCATGGCGCTGCGGTTCAAAGTCCCGGTGGTCACCTGTGTTTCCCCACGGCATGGTGCCAGCACAGTACCTACACACACACACAGACACACACACAGACACAGACACACACACAGACACACACACACACACACACACACACACACACACACACACACACACACACACACAGCACACACACACAGACACACAGACACACACACACACAGGTGTCACAGCTCGGTGATAGAGGATGTTTTCTGGTTCCCAACCTTTATCCTTCAGTGACCTCTTTATCTAATAAACTGATTATAATCAATAATACAGAACAGCTGATAAACTGCACTCTGTGTGTATTATGGCCGTTATTGGCTGTTTGTGTTCAGGTAATCAAACTGTAGATATTAAATAATACACTAATGTTTTTTTTTAAGATTTTAACTTAAAAAAAAACAGTTAAAAGTTTGTTTCGTCAAAGAGTTAAATTATCTTATCTGGTTTTACATCTAAAATAACAATTTCATTTACTTTTTTTCACAGAAATGAATTAAATTGAGATTTAGGCCCCCTGTGTATATTTTCTAACACCATGTGACCCCAGTAAGGGTCCTGACCCCCAGGTTGGGAACCGCTGTTAGAGCTTCTTTAGCTTCAGTAGCAGTCCTCAGTAATATCACACAGGAGCCGCAGTGCCACCGACCTCAGACAGCATCGTGGACTCACCTGGGAATGTTCAGAAACACAATGCACTGGAATTTCAGCTCCTGGATCTTAGGGGTTAAGTCGGTACCGTCACACTGAGGAAGACACACAGGTAAAGAAAGTGAGAAGGACAACTCCGTGGCATGGATCAGAAAATGTGCTGCAGTCTTTTGACTTCACTGTAGAAAACAACTGCTTTTCACTCTCAGATCCTCGGTTTGCTTTAACTCGTCACATCCAGCTTCACTCTCAGTTCTCCGTTCTCATTCTCGGTTTCAACGTTCTCCCTCTCGGTCTCAAACCGGTTCTGATGTGTTGGAGGAGGTGGAGACTGATACAGGTCAAAGGTTAACGTCTGCACAGGACGTCCTCAAGGACTCGATTCAGGGTGTTTTTATAATTAAATATTGGAGTTGGACATTTTTCAGCAAGGATGTAAAGTTGTTATATCTGCAATAAGTCTGGTGATATTCTGTATTTGTCTGAAAACAGTGTGTGTGTGTGTGTGTGTGTGTGTGTGTGTGTGTGTGTGTGTGTGTGTCACATCAGTGAGCCGCACTGTAGCACCGGGTGAGGCTGGAAATCATCAGACAGCACTTGCTCTCTATGGCGGTCAGCGGTTACGGGACACTCCGCGTTAGCTCGTTATTTTCCAGGAAAACTGATATTATTTCAGGATATTTGGTAATTTTAATCAATTTCCAGGTGAAAAAGTAGTCTTTACATTTCCATGTTTTCCAGGACTCACTCAAGGACACAATGTGGATTCTCCTCAAACAGCCGGCCACTACATTCAAACCTACAGTAACCTACATACCTACTAGCCAACAGTACAGGGCTAGGGAACACATATCGCAGACGGCTAAAGCTGCAGTAAATAACTTTTATAAAAACAACTGAGTCAACGATCAACTCTCTTTCTCCGCTCTGATTCGTTGTTCTCGTTCGGGCCCGGTGGATTCTGAAGTTTCAGCAAATATGACAATATATTTTTATAAAAGTTACCTACTGCAGCTTTAAAATGAAACATGATTCTCTTTTTAAACAGCAGAGGGCGCCAGCTACTGTTGATTTTGCATATTCAACGTCCTGCGTCACTTTTGAGGCCGACCCGACCTCAGGAATAAAGAATTCTCATATCATATCATTTTGTTAAAAAAGAAAATCCTGAGTTGCGTGTATGGTTAAAGTCTACTAACTAACATCGTTCAGTATGTTGTATCTGATTAATGTGCAGAATCAATCATGGGAGCGACGCTATGTCCTCGCTGTGCCTGTAGTGGCCTCGTGAAGATTCAGTGTCTCACTGAAGGACACTCCAGCATGGCCGATGTCCAAAGAGCAGTTGAAGGACGGACGTTTTAATCACCATGCCGACCTGCTGCCCAGACATGTCGACATGGAAAGCGATACAGAGAGAGTGTGTTAACACTCACCACCACTCTGACGTGCTTGGACAAATCCCTGGAGCTCCTCTGGAGGAAATCTGAGAATGCAGCCTGCACACACACACACACACACACACACACACACACACACACACACACACACACACACACACACACACACACACACACACAGAAAAGAGCACAATCAAACAGAATTACAGGTCATTACATTTCCCTCATTAAAAAGAGATAACTCCCCTCCATGCTTCCGTTCCAGCTCCCACCATCTTTCATCCTTTACAGCTTCTAAAAAGTTGCATTTAAGATTTTCTGTGATCAGAATGAAGCTTTAGATTAGACAAATGCAACACTACTCACAGTACAAGTGCACAATGAAAGATATCCTGATGTTTACTGAACCACATGGGAGGCAAACTTCTGACACTCTTCATTACTAATTTAAAATTACTACACTGCAACAAAGGAATCTGAAGAAGGTAAAAAAAGAGTTTAAATAAGATCTTACAGCTAATATTGAGCTCGATTTAACCGATTCAACCAGTAACAACAATGGTTGCATAATATCCCAGCAGAGGAACCAGATTATTGTCCTTATTTTCAGAATAAGAGCACTCATAACTTCTCAGTTAAACAGAAAGTGATCTGGTTCCACTGTTGGAAATGAAGCAGCTGTTTAAAAATAAGAATGTTTCTGGTTCCTTTATTCAACACAAAGTCACAGATTTTTATTCTGCTGTCTGAAGAAATTGAGTCTTATTGGAAGATTTTAGATTAAAAGGTACAAATTCTCACAATCAGCTCAATAAAGTAACTAAAATACTGATTTTAAAAATCTCAAATAACTGAGTTTGTAATAAGCACAACTCAAATATCTGGCATATTCTCTTGTCTTATTGCCCGTTTCAGTCTTTCAGTGGTTGCTAGTTTTAAGAATCGGATCCAGGCAGAATAGTTTTACTGGGAGATGTTTTTGCTCAACACAAGAACATTTGATTAAACTGAAGGATATTTGAATTGTTTCTATATTTCTCCTTAAAGAGTTTCTAAAAAATGTAAAAAGCATTTAAGATTTTCTGAGATCAGAATAAAGTTTTTACAGATAATAAAAGTGCAGAATGAAAGATTAATTTAGACTAATGATTACTAAACCAAAATTAATAAACTGCACTCTTTATTATTAATTTAAAATGACTATAAGCTCAGTTAACTTTGGCATCGCGTTGTGACCATATAGCTGCATTTTTAATTGGAATTAAACGTTTTTATGGCTGACTATAAGAGTTTTCCTGTTTAAAGACCCCTCGCTCTCTGCTTTATCCTAGCAGTCAGTCTTTCATTTGGATTTCCTTTGCTTGATATTTGCCTCTTCTGTCCTCATCCTGCTCTCTTTTCCCTCTTTCCCTTCCTTCAGTCTTGCTTTCCTTTCAGCCGTCAGTGTTGCAGATCACTCTCCAGGCGTCTGTGTGTCTCATTAAAACAGCGAAAGTTGTGTGTGAATCAGTTGAGCGGGACACTCACTCCTGCATAGAACATCTTGTTGCGGAAGCGACTGTTAAACTTTTCTGGGTTGGCCTCTGGAAAGACAAAATGAGAGAGAAAGAATACATTAAATCTGCTGCAACACAGAACAACACAGCGAGTAAGACGGTGAGAGAATCAGACTAATTTGTGCATTAATGCTGCGTCCGTATCCGAATGTGTCCTTCTTAATATTTGATGTCATTCCGCTCAGCGTACAGCGGAGAGGACACATTAACGGGAGAGAGGAGGACTTAATGGAAGAGAAACAAAGTTAATACAAGATGAAATGTGAAAACACTAAAATAGATCTCACCCACCTCGGGACTCGTGGAACTCCAGGGTGACGTGAGCGTCGAAGCCCAGGCTGAAGTAGTTATTGAACACGTTGAGAGGCAGCTGAGGAGGCACGAGAAATATTAACAGAGAGTGTTTCTGCATAAATATTGTACAATTTATTCACATTGACAGCTCAGGTCCATATATAATGTCTTACACTGGAGCTTTTTACCTCTGCACTCATTTTGTGAGGACACTGACATCTCCTATCTATAGACCTACTATCAATAACCTCCCGTCTTCTGACAGTTTTAAGGACAGCCTCCTCAAACAATTTAAGATCACAGACACAACATACATTCTGACGTAGAACCCACATGTGATAAATGTTTACAGCTCCGTAATGTGTCCTAAAGGTGCTTCTCTTTGGTGATTAATCCTCCACTGAAAGCAGAATCTGATCCCACGCTTCTGTTATTGTTTGGATGTGAGACCCCCCCCCCCAGTGGCAGGAATTACATATCGTACGTTTAACCTTCAAATTAAAAGCCTCAAAGTCGCCACAACAGTGAACAGCCTGTTGTCCCCACAATGTGATTAACCCTCGTCACACACACACACACACACACACACACACACACACACAGTCTAAGCTGACCTTCTGCGTGCCCTCCTCTGGCTGCACAGCACTGTTCTCCACGAGCAGGTTCCACCTGTCCAGCTGTACCACCGAACCGTCCTCCACGTGACATAAAACCTTGGACACCGGCTCGTCTGTGTAACCCTGCAGAGGGACAAACACAGACATTACATCATAAACAGTCAGCAGCTACTGCAACCAGTCAGAGGAGTTTCCCAGTGTTCATTTCTTCTACCGAGGAAGACAACTCCAGTGAGAAGTCGGCTCATTTCTCCATAAGACTCAATGCTATTGGCCTCTCTGTGCAGCCAATGGAGCTGCCCCCTGCTGGCCGTTACACAGAATGCAGGTTTAACACACTTCCACTGTCCACTGATTATACTGTCAGTGGTTCATTCCCGAGATATTGTTAATTAAGTCCAGACTGTAAACAATACTTATAATATTTAGAACTCATATTCTAGGAACAACAACGGATGATCAGAAATGAAAGAGAGGGGTCACCAAAGCTTCGCAGGGGTCGCGAGGCCTTCTTTAAGACTTTAAATATACGCACAGAGCTATATCTCAGCGTCTGATTCACCAGCTCGCCGAGCATCAGGGATAGAAAACACTGAATTTGTCAAAAAAGAACCTGTTAAGTTGTTAAAAATGATAAAAATCCAGAATACAGACAGAGAATTGTATAAAAAGTTCCCTGAGCAGGAAATAATCTGCTCGTTTTACACAAACTTCCTGTTACTGAGTTCACTGTTTCAAGTTGATTCATTTAAAAAGGGACGATGTACATTAAAGAACACGAGGAGTCCACTATGTTAATGAGCCACATTGAGCCCGTTCTCTTCTGCAGTCCCAAACAGGCTGATGGAAACATCTCAGAAACATTCAAAGGAAACATACAAAAGCACAAATAATAGTTGTTACTATAATATCCATAAAGAAAAAGGTTGTGAACCAGTGAGGTAGAATCAGTAGGTAACAGGGAGCAACAATCTGTTGATGATGAGCAACATTACTGCCTCTCTCTCTCTCTCTCTCGCTAACACACACACACACACACACACACACACACAAACAAACACACACACACACACACACACACACACACACACACACACACTCTCAGAGTGAGAGAACGACAGCGACAGGGTGTAATGATTTGCTTTCAATCAGCGGTCATTGAGGCTGCTTCACTGACACCACGATCCCCTTAAGAGCAAACAGCTCACACGCACACACGCGCACACACACACACACACACACACACACACACACACACACACACACACACACACACACACACACACACACACACACACACACCTTTCTCCTGCCATTAGTCATTCAAGCCAGGTCTCCCTAATGGACAGTGTTTTATCTTTCTGTCATTCTCTCCATCCTCTGTCTGCTTTTTATTTTCTGACTCTGGACGGGGTCAGGAGACCAGAGGATGGACACACACACACACACACACACACACACACACACTCTCTCTCTCTCTCACACACACACACACACACACACACACACACACACACACACACACACACACACACACACACACACACACACACACACACACACAGGCTGATGATAGTAGCGCTCATCAGGAGGGCCTCCTCTGAGGTTCACACACACTCACACAGAGAGAGAGGTGGGGCAGCAGTGAGTAACACAAACACACAACTGAGTGTCAGAGGGAGGAAGAGGGAGGAAGAGGAGGAAGAGGAAGGAGAGGAAGGAGAGGGAAAGGATATTAAGGAAACAAAAAGGAAGATAAGGAAAGGAAAATGAAGAAGGAAAGAAACAGGAAAAGGTAAAGAAACCAAAAAAGTAAACTGGGAAAGGAAAGACGAGGAAGAGAAGAGAAGGAGATGAGAGGAAGAGAGAGAGAGGGGTGGAGAAGGAAGGAAAGGTGGATCATAGTGTATAAAGAAAGAGGACAAACTCATTACACTAATTACACTCTGCTAGATATGAGTTCCTCTGTTCAAAGCGTCAGTGTCTCTGCAGCAGGACGCCACGGACACTCTGCTGTCGCTGCTTTATGTTGGTGTGTCCATCAGTGGTGCAGCTCAACAACAGGGCAGTTACTGTCACATGGGCAGTATGTTTGTATTGGGGCTTCAACTGATAGTGACAGTGACAGTGGCCAGAGAGAGAGAGAGAGAGAGAGAGGATGATAGAATAATCAGTCGATCAATAACCTTTACACAGATACTAAATGAATGAATGTTTGATATTATCAGAGAAATAAAGAATTTAAAATACATTCACACACATGGACCTGGACTAAAGATTGATTCCTTTCTGTTACTTTACCAAATATGTAAGAATAATATGAGCTGTGTGTATAAAGCAACAGAACAACGTAACATTAGAAAAGAAAATGTGTCGTCTGTATTTTATATTTTATATCTGTATCAGGCAGAACTCGCTCTGTACTGTGAAGCTCTTCCTCTTGTCTGCTGTAAAGAATAAATAATGGAGGGTTTCCACCCTGTGAATGAACTGGCAGCTGGAACAGTAGCTATGGTTTCACTCCAGACCAGAGTGGCGTTCAGGGACACTTCCAGATCCCTTTTTGACTGAGGGGGGGCAGGAAGTATGTTTCAGTTATTCCCAATGTTTATGGACCCCATGCAGAAATATTCAGATACACTAAACAGCCCAAACACTGATTGTGATTAACACAAAGCATCTGCAAAGGAGAAACTCACGGGTGCACATAGGAGCCATTTTCATTCAGATATCTTCAGGTCAGAGGTCAACGGGTCCCTTTGAGAAGATTAGCCTAACTTTGGGGCGTTATTTAGCCCTACGGGGTGATTCTAAATGATTGATTGTAGTAGTAGTAATGTTTAAGCTCTAAATAAGAAGGGTCAGTCTTAGAGTTAGTCTTAGAGTTAGTCTTAGAGTCAGTCTTAGAGTTAGTCTTAGAGTTAGGCTTAGAGTCAGTCTTAGGGTTAGTCTTAGAGTTAATCTTAGAGTCAGTCTTAGAGTCAGTCTTAGGGTTAGTCTTAAAGTTAATCTCTTTCTTAGGTGTTTAGAGTTAGTCTTAGAGTCAGTCTTAGGGTTAGTCTTAGAGTTAATCTTAGAGTTACGTCGTCTATCTGGAACTTTCTACAGTTCGAATCAAAGATGTGAAGGGTTAAATATAATTAAAGTTATACTTTATGAACTAATGATTGTGACTGTACACAAACGTTGTGTAATACCATTATGACTAATGTTTCCTTCATTGGTTTCTTTTGTTGCTGTTTTTTTTTTAATGTATTTATTTAATTTGACCCCTGTGACATCCAGGGTGTGGGAAGGGGAGGAGGAGGAGGAGGAGGAAGGAATAAGATGCCCTTTGTCCGGCAGCTGATGAATGTTTGTTTAAATTTAAGTTAAAATGACTCATGTTTAGTGGCCTATTACTGACCATTTCCCATCAATCCAACCTCCAGTATTGAAATTATATTGATAATAGTCAACAGCAGTGTAATGTGGCGTAAACGCAGTTTTTACAGATTTTTAAACTTTTATTCTTATACAAAACCACTGGAAGGTCTGATTCTGTGTTTCATTCTTTATCAAAGATTAAACAACGTAGATGTTGTCTGTTGGGTGTTTGTGTGTTTCTCTATGAATCTCCCATAAGTCCAGTAGAATATTATAATGACCCTTCCTTCTGTTTTACTTTCTTTGATTAAATCCACTGTAGTCTCTCACTGCGGGGATGTTTCCCCTCAGGAGGACGTGTTTGCAACAGAGCTTCTACTTTCTGCTCTTCTAGCTGAGGTTTTGTGTTGCACTGAAGTGGTTTCACTATATTCTGCGATGAATTGATGTGTTGTGCCTCGGAGAGGTCAGAGATATGCAGTCGTACACTTCCTGGAATGTGGTTTTTCTGTAGCTCAGAAAGGTAAATACTGACTTTATTTTACATTTTCATTCATTCATTTCTATTTAAGTTATATTTAAAGTGCTGGCATTGTTTGTTCCTGAGCTGTATCTTAATATTATTTCCCCCACAGAGATAGCTGCACTTTTATTTAACTCATCTGAATCGTGATGTGGATCTGAACGGACAACCCCGCTACGTCCTGCCGCGCTCAGAAGTCAAGGCTAGGAACTCACCCCACCCCAGTTGAGCGTCCTGGCGAGGTCATTTCCTGTTCCCAGAGGAAGAACAGCGACCGGAGGCTGGGGGTTCATCTGCAGCTCATCGAGAGTGGACAGGATCCACCCCACCTACAGAGAGACAGGCACAGAAAGCGTAAAGCCTCGCTCACACTACACGACTCTCTGTCTCCTGATAGAACTAATCACAAATACACTACAGGAAATAAACATATTAACAGTTTGAATTAAACTAAAAGCTCCCTGTGTCAAACTCCCTTTAAGAAATATTATATTTTAACTATTCCTAACATGTCTGTAAAGACCCGTAACTCTAGAAACACGAGCTATAGGCCGTCATATGTCCACAGTCTGACTGTCCAATCAGCATCAATATAACCTAGTGGTTCCCTACCTGGGGGTCGGGACACCCACTAGGGGTTGCCAAAGCTTCACAGGGGGTCTTTGAGGCCTTCTTGCTTTTAAGGGGTGTTTTTTAAGTTTAGATTATTATGAGTATTATTATTATTTCTCAATAAAATAAGTGCTGGTTGGTGGATCAGATACACCCTGAACTGAACACCAACTTACAGCACTGTTTATTCATGTTTGTGTAACAGTATTTGATGAGTTTTTTCTCTAACTGTACGGTTTGCTGCTTCCTGTCTGGTGCTGGGGAGACTCAGCTCTCCGTGGATCCCTGCATGGCTTCCCGATGTGTCTCTGACACGGCCAGATACTCAGAGACTCAGAATACAATGTACGCAAAAGCAACAGATTATAGGAGAACAGAGGCTCACCGTGCCGTCCCCTCCGCAGGCGAGGATCCTCAGATTTGGCACTTTCCGATACAACTCCAACCTGACAATTCACAAAGGGCACAGAGCAGAGGGAGGCCTGGTTGTAGAATAAAAGAGGCTTCTTCAGCAGAAAGCAGTGCTGATTGGTGTTGAGTGGGTGTAATTGGTCCAAGTTTCATGAAAACTGCTCAACCCGTGAGCAGACTGTTTAAATAAAAGAGGATAATGACTCAAATTTAAGCTAGAACATACAGCATTTTCCCCCCAGCAGTGGTTCCTGATAGACTCAACTGGTTATAGAATAAAACCGTTCCTCTGTAAGTGCGTCCTTTATGTTCATAAATGGTTTGAACAGAGTAAAAAAAGCCAGAATGTTACTCTGACTTCAACCCCATGTGCTAAGGAGGGTGAATTTTAATACAACGTCAGAAGTGAAGGGTACTCACGCCTCTCGCAGTCCGCCCTGTGACAGGTCAAAGACTTGTCGAGGGTTCAAGATCCACATGAACATCTGTAACACCTTGGCACCCTGCAGAGAGAAACACAGAACATTATTCTGATGCAATCTTCAGCACTGTTTCTGCAGGAGAGGCTCTATAATTGAGATGATGGTATGATGATTTTCTTTTAGTAAACTCATCTGATAAAACTAATCCCGTTTGAACCGACAGCTTCCTAATTAAATGTTCTGTTGCTGGCAGCCGGCACATTGTAATAACTCCTGTAGCCTCAAACAGCCCGACGAGGCTGAGCACAAAGACTTTACACCTTCAAATAAAGCATCCACTCAGACGCTGCTGAGGCCCGTACGGACGAGCTAAATTAATAAAAGAACATCATTTATTCAAATCTGATAATGTCAGGATGTGAGATTACGTTGGTCTTCTGCAGGGGGCGGAGCCTGATGTGGTAAAGCCAGCTGAGATAATAAAATGCCTCCAATGCCCAAGAAAGAACACCTGTAGAGCCTGCATCCTAATTGTGCTCCAACTGTCTTCATCATTGTGAAATCACACCCTCACTTAACTCCTGCCACCTAAAAAGAGGCAAGCATTGTGTCTGATATTATTTTTAAGTTGAGCATGTGAGCAGAGTGGAGCTGTTTGTTCTCTCCACACTCAGCTCAGATTTCACTCCGCATGTTTAAGCTGTACGATAAAGCTGCTTGATCACAACTTTCTAACTTAGAAGAAGAAGCGACATCCCGGTTATCCAAATTCTCTAAAAGGAAGTTCCACTGGGATGAACTCCACATGAGCTCAAACACATACAGATACAGAGAGTGTGTAGTTCACTGACCTGGTTGCCTCCACTCTTGGGATTAACAAAAACCAAGATGGGCTTCATTAGAGGCGAAGGGAGGGGCTTCAACATGAACGGACGCCATTTAGACTCCTGCAGAGAGAGAGAGACAGAGAGAGAGAGAGAGAGAGAGAGAGAGAGAGAGACAGAGAGAGAGAGAAAGAGAGACAGACAGACAGACAGACACAGAGAGAGACAGACAGACAGACAGACAGAGAGAGAGAGACAGAGAGAGAGACAGACAGTTTGAGTTTAATAACAAATGCTCTATAAATAAAAATACTATTATTATTATACCTGAAAAAACTACCAAATTACAGTAATGATATGTTTGTACTTTGTTACGTCCCCTGAACTTCTACCAGGTACATCTTTAGGACGTCCTTCCTGCAGCGCGGTTAATGATCTCCAGATCCCACTGAGAGCGTCTTCAGAGTGTGATGCCTGCGCAGCGTTCTGTACGTCTGTATTTTGTTCTTAAAAAGGAAACTAAACTGTTTCTCTGCTTCTAATCTCCTCTAACCTGCCTGCACGGGGTATTTTATTTTGAAAATTGATCGCATTCTCTATGCCGTTCCTGTGTCTGACTTCCTGCCAGTGTGACCCGCTCTGTGCTGCTCGCTGTGAGTGGGCGGTCGGGCACAACTTGCCGCCTTTAAACCGATAATGGAAACCAGCGTCCTGCAGCAGCCGTCACTTACATCCAGTCCCTTCTTGCTTGTCCTTCGTTTGAAAGACGTCCGCTTTTTCCTCCTGGCAGAGTTCTTCAGGGAGCTCTAGGGTACACACACACACACACACACACACACACACACACACACACACACACACACAGTTCAACAGTTAGTTCACTGTCACCACGTCCCTTAGTGATGGTAATTAAAAGTGCAATAAAGCATGTGATGTGACTGAGGGGTGCGTGTGTGCGATGACGGAGACACAAAGACAGAGTTCCCTCGGACAGACCAGACATGTGTCAGCTCGAATCAAATCATAGACAGACTCTCTCTCTCTCTCACACACACACACACACACACAAACACACACACACACACACATATAGACACACACACACACACACACACACACTTTTGACACACGCCTTCTTTTAGCGTTTTAAATTTAGATCCAACAAAGTCATTTCTTGTTACCGTCAAAGAATGACAGCCAGTGAACTTTATCAACCACTGCTGAGTGTGTGTGTGTGTGTGTGTGTGTGTGTGTGTGTGTGTGTGTGTGTGTGTGTGTGTGTGTGGACACCTGTGGTTTCCTGACTTTGATGATCCAGGACGGGGGGACTATGACTCCAGCGTGGGCCCCCAGTGAACAGGGCTCCTCAATCTGGTGCAGCATGAAACACGTCACCTTATTGTGGAACTGCAACACAAAACACTCCTTATCATTATTATTGATCCTATTTATTGATTGTTTCTTATCAAAGACACATTTTAACATCTTAAAGGGTCATTTCCCCCAGATAATATGCCATTGTGATTTGTCCCAGTGGGTGTTACTCACAGCCTGTTTACACCAGGAACAACTGATGGCGATGATTTCTTTACTGTGGAAGAACTTCTGTTGGAAACTCTGCAGAAACACACAGAAACACACCGAGGTACTGAACTGTTGAACAATAATAACTCTGTGTGTGTGTGTGTGTGTGTGTGTGTGTGTGTGTGCTCACCTTTCCACACTGTCTACATTTCCCCTCCTGCCTCCGTCTGTGAACCCAGTGGTGTCTCAGTATGTTCTGCTGTCGGAGAGAGGAGGAGCTAAAAACATGTTGTCTCTCTTTGCACACAGTGTAAACAGGAGACGTTACAAAACAACAACAACAACAACCACACACACACACACACACACACACACACACACACACACACACACACACACACACACACACACACACTTACATCTCTGAGGCAGCGGGATCCTCCCTCTCTGAAGGTTGGCTTACATCGGAAGTTAATCTGGAGGATGAGTAAACAATGAGTACTGGCAAAAATACAGTTTTATATATTAATAACAGGGTGAATTCAACCACATTTATAACACTTCAGTGTACACACACACAAACCTTTAGTTTATTTTTATTTATCCATAAAATACGTCAGTATGAAGGACTACTGTGACTTTTCCTTAAAGGAAAGAGGTACACTGTGAGTGTGTGTGAAAGGGTGAGTGTGTCTGTTGGGTAAAGCCCTCCGAGTACAGTCCTTTTACCAAATCGATCAGTTCTGTGAGGGATTTAGGATGCTGGTAATAATGTATCTTTGATTTGATTTTTAACAAGTTAAGTCAGTGAGGTTTAATTAATGCAACTTGCTCTTCATCGTAAAATAGCCAGGTTGCTTAGTAACCACCAGTGCTGGGCAGTAACTCATTACTGGTAGTATTATAACATCCATCCCCAAAAAATACTTACAATATTACTTTTGTAGACACCCTCCTACTAATTTACAACCCAACGATCCAATCACATCCTTCGACTGGTTTGTGTAATCGGGGAGGAAACCAGTTTGGAAGATGGAAATACTTTTATTCAGTAACTAATTACTAATTAATCATTACTTTGATTTAACAAACAAAAATGGATTTTAATCATCTTCATAATATTACTTTTGAAAAGAGGAATGAGTAATAAATAACATTGCGTGAGTAACTAGCCCGACACTGAATCCTCCACAGTGCCGTGAATAAAAGGATGTTTTCCACAGTCTCAGAAAAACACAGTTCAGACTCAGGAATAAACAATAAGTTATAGAAATTAACTTCTCATCAGCAGTGAGTTTGTGAAGCGTGTAAGTAATATAAGATTAACTGTGTGTGTGTGTGTGTGTGTGTGTGAGAGATACCTTTTCTAGTTGCTCTATGCAGCCAGTGTGAACAACGATCTTACAGGCAGCACATTTCCTCCTGGGGGCCGACTTCTTAAAGGAGAAAACAGACACACACAGCACAGAGAGCGGTGAGACACACAACAGACACGCATCTAACACGCCACAAACACACAGCAAACACAGCAAACACGCCACAAACACACAACAAACACACAGCAAACACAGCAAACACGCCACAAACACACAGCAAACACACAACAAACCGTACAGAGACACTTTTTATAGTTTTAGTTTGTTTATTTCTGCCTCCTTTCTTAATTTATTTTATTTAGTTTTTAGTATAACTTTTATTAAAAACTAAAATCAGAGGTGCTGGTGGGCAAATTGTTTAACTACGGGACACAGACAGGCTTCCAGTCTTTATGCTAAGCTAAGCTACCCAGATGCTGGCTGCAGCCTGATATTTTTATATTATATATTTATATTTCCCATTAAGTTCAAGTATTGCTTTAATTATTGAGCAAAACAAAACTATGTGTGACAATAACTGTGTTTATTTCACGGTGCAGCTGGCAATGAAAATAAAGTGCTGCTGTCCTTCAATCAATCACACTGCTCTAACGACACATGAACTACTCATTATGGGTAATAATATGACAGCTGATAATGGAGGGTCAGTCTGGACGGATACAGAGCGACACTGACACACTGCTACTCTCATATTAAAGACAGACTTTCAGTTCCAGGTGTCTCTGGTCGGCTCTCAGTAATCTCACAGGGTCCAACCACAAAACCTCCTTTATCAATGAATACTGACGTTAAGGAAACGCTCTGATAAACTGTGGCTGACGGCTCTTGGAAAGCATGAGTGGAGGAACTTTTACTGCACGCTATGGTTACATTTAAAAGCTGATAGAAATCTCTTTCATCATCATCTTTGACTTGTATTGAGAGTTTATATAACACTACAATAAAGGTTTTAAAAGAGTGAAAGAGGAACTAATGCACATTACACTGTTCCTTACAGTAAGCAGCTTCATTCAGTACAGCAGTGATACGACCTGTAAAGTCCATTTACTCAGCTACTGTAACAGGAAGCAGAGAGCTGTTTGCTTCCACATAGTTAGGGAGGAACCTGTCGCAGTAGCCAATAGCGCTGTGTGTTAACCCCCCCCAGTCCAGCAGCTGTAGTGGATCCAGTAGCTGAACAATAGTCCAGACTGGGACTGACTGCAGGGTCTGATGGAGGACAGTTTGAGGACAGGGAATAAAGTCTTTAGGTTTATTTGCTCCTGCCACCCCAGGGTTAAATCAATAAAACTGGGTTCACTTTATGATTTTCTTGCAATGTTTTAAACTAAATAAGATTGAACACAGAAATCTACACAATATATCGTCTTTATCAAACTATAGAATCCTTTTTTATTTCTGGAGTCGAGTATAAACTGTGTCAAATATTTGCTTTCGTTGTAGAAGTGAAACTGATCTTTGACTGATTTGAATCTTCACAGATTCGTATCACAAACTGTCTCATGATAAATCTTTACCTTCCTACCATTATTCAATCAACCATGTAATCTATATATAATCTATAAGATAGTGAAAAATGTCCACAGACAAATATATTCAGGTTCAGGTTACTGTCAGGTTCAGGTCACATGACGGTGGACTTGCAGGTCATAGCGGTCCCTCCAGAGTCTCCCTGCACACTACAGCATCTTTCCGTGATGACTGAGACTCAATCAGCCCCATCCAACCGAGCCGGGGCAGGAATGTGCTTATTCATGTCAACTGTGACTTGTCAAAGCAACCTGAGATTCCACCGAGGTCAGGCTGTGCGTTTAGTAGCCGAGAGCGCACGGCGCTGATGGAATATTTATCCAATTAAACAAACGACAGAGAGAGATTATAGTGAATTTATTTTGCTGTGTCTCACCTTGTTCTAGTACGCGCACTGTAATAACATACCATCAGAGATACAGATATGTCATTATCTTAAAGGTTATTTCTGGGCTGCTGTTTGTCAGCGGCGTGCGGATGGAGAGAGGATCTATAATACCTGTAATTTAAACACTTTCTACACAGCTCGCTCAGTCTGAACGAGTGATTTCTTCTGCTGCTTTGTAGACACGGTTGGTCTGAGTGAGAGCGGGGCATCCTGTTTAAAACAATGCCAAATCACCGGACTGTATTTAGAAGCACACAATACGCTCCATTAGCAGAGCGCCGGGACCACCTGCTCTGAGCACGAACGGCGACTGACCATAATTTGACTCATGAATCAGAAAGGATTGAATTTTATGCATGAGGTTTTTGCAGATTTTAAAGTATTGAGCGATTTTTATGTGAAAGCAGCGTTTAATCCCACATGTATTTATTCCTAACATACACAGCTGCACTGAAACCAGTTTTCTACTGAACAGCTCGATTTTAGCTCTTTTTCAGACCATATTCTGTAGAAAGGAGAAACTTCACTGCCACAATCAACTGTCAGCAGCTATATTTAATCCTCTCTATGTAATGCCTGGCTCGTGGCCAGCGTCGGCCAGATCAACCAACCGGGTCGCTTCACAAGCTTTTAAAAGTCGGTGACATTAACCAATACCTGCGGCCGATTCTAAAGTCATCGATCCTCAATGGAAGTGACGTCTGCTTTGATAAACACGCTGCTGAAAGAACCGGATTTATTTATATAAAAGGGGACGTGTTCCAGTCTTATGGAGAACGCGGCCCAGGTCGCTTTATCTGTACAGAACCTTTCAACAACAAGGTCATTCAAAGTTCTGTGTGGTTACATAAGACAGGAAGGATTAACTACACTGTACAAAACACAAGTTGGGAAAAGTCTGAATAAAAAAAAAAACTAACTCAAACTTTTTTGCCAACCTGTAATCTTTTGTTGAGAAAATGTACTTTTGTTTTTTCAGAAAAACTGAAACTTATCTGAGTTTTAGAAACGAACCATTCTGATATTAACAAATGTTCTGATCCATTCAGAGTAGCAGAGTTTTTCCAGTGAGCCCTCTTACTCTGTTTGACCTGCAGGGAACAGAACCTTAATCGGTATCACTGGGAACACCTGTGTTTAACCCTACTGTTTTATGTCAAAATGGCTGCTTTGAAAAAGGTCTACTGACTACAGCTTTCCTCTAACCGTCGCATAAATGTGGCCACAGCACAGAAATACAATTCAAACTAAATATATAATAGCCGCTCTCGTCCACACACAGCAGGCAGCGTGCACACTACTCACTGCGGTCTTCAGGAGGCAGGTGTCCTCTCCGAGGTAACAGAGCTCTCCTGAACAACTCGTCTCCATCCACAGGTGATCCCCGTTCACCGCGTTCTCCTGCAGAGACAGACCGAGAGAGGAAATAATGACATAATAACTCACATTATCCTCGTGCGTCTCTCACTCAAGACTATTTTCAGTCACATTAAACTGCAGCCGTATGCACATAAACACTCTGTAGTGAGAGCGGTCAACGAGTGTGTCAAGCACGTAATTGCTGCTGCTGAGTAGGTGGGTAATTTCACAGTGTATGTTAATCTAAGGTGCTAATCACAACACTACAGGAGCCCCGATTCAAGCGAAAACACACACCTTTACGCATCACAAACATGTAAATGTGAATGATTTCATGCATGTAAAAGGGATGTGACTGGGATCAGTGAACAGCTCTTAGCAGGCGTCGTACTGCCGCTGTATTTATAACACAAACACAGTTCATATCTGGATTGAGATTAGAAATATATTTTATTTCTGTTCTGTTTCAGCACCTAAAATATCATAATATATCAGAAATATCTTAAATTAATCCGTCAACACTACAACTAACTGGGTTAATTGAGTTTATTTCAACCGGTTTGATGACGGGGATACAGAGCAGAAGAGTGTTTAACAGTGACTTAACAAGGCAAATATGTTAATAATAGTTATTAGAGACTGAAATACAACCGCAGAAGGAAGAGGAGAGAACACCAATAATATATATATATATATATATATATATATATATATATATATAGAGATAAGAAGAACTACAGCTGTCTAATCTTTTTCGAATCTCTCTCTCTCGCTCGCTTATTAAAATTTCAGCCCAAACTGTTTCTGCTCCGGTTTCTAACCTTAATCTTTAATTATACAAACCCTAATAGCTCGAAAGGCTGGAAAATATCTCATTATTTATTTTTTTTGTCATAAGTTTTTAAATACACTAATAATCATTAATGATAATTTACTTTCTCTTGAGAAAAACTTGAGTGTAAGTTTTGGAAACACAAAAATCTGTATTTCAGAAATTGTTAAAACTCATTAAAGTGAAAAACTAAATGATTTAATATTTTCAGTGCAACTGTTGTCAGGCACGAAAATAAAGTCCAGAATTTTTTGTTACTAAAACTCAAAGATTTAGAGTTTGAGTTTGGATCAAACCTTAAACATTATGTGAACACAGTTATTTGAAATGATGAGTGTAGCTCGGCCTCACCAGTTAATCAGCCTCATTAATTCCCTTTTAATGGTCATTTATAGACATTTCCTCCTTTCTATACCAAACGCCCAAATAAACGAAATAAATCTGTCCTTTGTTCTGCAGCTTTTCCGTCATTTTGCTAAAACCTCTGAGTGAATATGGAAGATCATCAGCGTGTACATTGAGCCATAGAGCGGCAGTAACTCAGCCCCTCAGTGTATATTAATGAGTGATTAGGTAAATGATGATATATGCCTGTGTGTGTGTGTGTGTGTGTGTGTGTGTGTGTGTGTGTGTGTGTGTGTGTGTGTGTGTCCTGCAGAGAGCTAAAGGCCAGCGATGACGTGGTGGAAGTGTCCCTGCAGACGGAGCCGGAGGGGAATCTCAGATGTGAGCCGACAACAGTGTGTCTACTTCCAACTCCCAATTAATACCACAGCACCTTTTATTTAACGTTCATTATGGACGCAGCATTCACTGAGAGCTGCTTATACACTGAAATACGTCTCATAGACAGAGGAACAACTACCAGCAGACTCCACACTGACGTCCTGTTTGTGAACTGGTATTAGTATTTCAGATGGCGTGCACTGTTTGTTTTCTGCGCCCGGCGAGCACCTACACAGATGATCGGGAGTAAAAACCTCGCTCTGCCACACAGCCCTTCTTCTTCTCTTGTTGAATCAGATAAAAATAGATGCGTGCCTGTCTTCCACTGGGCCCGTTGTAAACAAGGTAAAGTTGGCAGCTGCTTTTAGAAACACAGACTATCATTACAGAATCAGCTCTAACGGGGATTGTCTGTGTGATTATCACAGACCACAACAGCTGCAGGAGAGAAGCTGTGATGGAATTTATAGATGTTTTGTGTTATTGATCATTTCTCTAGGTTTTTATTTATCTTTTTATTTTAAAGCACCAACTTACCAAGGCAAATTCCCTCTATGTGATACCTAGTCTTAGTTATTTGAGCTAATGTTGCTTTCACTTAATGATTAGCCACATATTTGTTTGTTGCTCCCTCTTTGCTTTTTGTTCACTGCCTTTATAAAGTGAAAAATGTTTATACATTTAACATAAGTTGACTTTTATTTTGAAGTAAGTCAGTCACAGGAAGTAACGGTGGAATAATGGTGCAGCTCTGATGTGAACACACACTCCACCTTCAGGGAGAAACCTTTGGATTATTTTATCGCTGATTACAGAAGATTTTCAACCTTTCACTTGATTTGACCTTCTGCTGAAATGCGGTCTTTTATAAAATTGCACCCTGATGATGGGATTCGTTTTTGTCATCACAAGATTGCAAATAGTTTGAGTCATCAGCTGGAGAATAACAGGAATTATTTGGAGGTCTTTGTAAGGTGAAATAGTTTTAGAACTTTTTATTCACATGGATTTCAGTGGATAATGATGCCAAACAAACTTTTTGTTGACTTGTTTCGTGACATTTTTCAGAGCACTCTCCACATCAACTTGGCATTTCCCGAAGCTCAGAGCGTTCGCTGCGTTTCAGACGGCTGTTAAATGTCTCTTTAGCTTTGTGAGGCGTTACGTGAATCAAATCCATTAAGTTCTGTTAAATAAACCCAGAGAAAGTCACATCCCATAAAGTCCTGACTCATCAAACGTTCTTTCCAACGCTCAGCTAACAAGACATTTTCTAGCAATGATCAAAAACCCAACAGAAAATTGCTGCTTTTCATTTCCACATGAACATACGGCTGCTGAAACCAGTCTGCTAACAAATCTGTTGATGGAAAACCAAATGTCATTCAGTGAGTCAGTCTGACAGGAACAGGACAACAGAGACCGACTGTCCGTATTCAGACATGTTGCTTTTAAATACGTGTAGAAGTTTGTTGTTGCTGCTCTGCTCTTGGATTCTTCTGTGCGCTTTACTTCTTGGAGCGTCTCGTACGGGCGGTTACGTTCATGCACTCCCGCCCTGCTCGGCTTCATTACAGGTACTTCTCTTGCCTGCTGATTTTCCATCATGTTTAATCTGTTTTATTGGTAGTAGCGTATTTTATGCTTTTGTTTAAAACTATTAGGTTAGTTTAGTTTGTTTTATCTGCTTTATTATCTTTATTGATGTGGGTCTTTTATTCTTTTAATTCTACCTCACTTAGGTGTGCTTTTATTTTGCCTTATTGCCTCCTGAATTGTTCTTAATCCTGGTTCCAGCCATGTAAGGCACTTTGTGACTTTGTTCTGAAAAGTGCTGCATAAATAAAGTTTCTTTTTATTATTAATATTAGTATAGCAGCACAGCGGCCTCCCATCGCTGAGCCAGGCGGGAAAACAACGTCACTTTCTGTGTAACTGGGGCGATCCGAGAGCAGGAAATCTGAGTGACTGGGCTGTTTGAGTTTTGAGGGAAAGTATTAAATAATCTGAATGTGAAATCAATAAGTCATGTTCTCAAACTAAAAGCCCTCGCTCTTGAATAAAAGAACTGAATACATGAGTTTGTAAAATCTTGCAAAACATCAATTCATATGCAGGAAAATACACAAAAACAAGAAGCACAGAACAGATCTGATGGTTACTGATGATAATATATAAACTGAGTGTATGTGCATGTCTGACCGTCCAGTCCACGAAGGTCCGGAGATCCTTGTTGGGCCCGTTGGACACAGGTGGCAGCGAGGGTTGTGGCGGGCCGAGGTGCTGGAGGCCCGACCGGGAGATCGCTTTCCTACAAACAAACCAAGAAACTTTTATTAACCACCACAGCCTGTAACAGAGACAACGTCATCCTCAACGTGTGACACAGCTCTCTCACCACGGAGCGGCTCAGTCACACGGAGAACTAGTTTTCGGTATAATTTAGTATGTAAATGAATTATTCATGCTATGAGAGCACATTTGGGCGGGTTCTGCTGCAGATATTCAGTGGAGGAGAAGTGGGAACAGCTTGGAGGAGAGACTGCCAGCAGCACTTTGGGGTGACGAGAGAGAGACAGATCCGTTCTGTCGGAGGATGAGTCAGCAGTCGGCTCTCTCGCCATGTTTCTGCCTCGCACCCGATCAAACTTCCTCTTTATGTGTTTCTGTTTCAGCTTCTCCACCATCACCCATCAGATCATCATCTCTCTCCGTCTCATCCGATAGCTCTACATCTAGCATCCATCAGTGACCACTGACCCCTCTTAAGCTCCGCCCCCTTTTGTTGCTCCAATTAAAGTTGAGCAGAACTTCCTGTACTTAGATATGCTACGTGCTAGGCTAATCTATGCTGAAAAGACAACCACTTTTATAAAAAGGTTAACAGATAAAACACAAATATAGTCACATCTTAAGTTAGCAAAATGTGCTAACATTAGATAGCTTACTTAAAGGTCCAGTGTGTAACATTAAGGAGGATCTATTAGCAGAAATGGGATTTAATCTTTGTAAGTATATTAATGAATAATCACCTCAAAACACAACTGTTCTGTTTTTATCTACCGACGCTGCGGATCGTGTGTGTGTGTGTGTGTGTGTGTGTGTGTGTGTGTGTGTGTGTGTGTGTGTGTCTGTCTGTCTGTCAGTGGAAAAGGTTGCACAGAGCATCTGACCCCCCTGCTGAAAGTTTCAGTGGCCGTCGGTCTGAAATGATCAACCAGGACAAAGAGGAGTCCACTTACACACACTGTAACCTGACGACACACACACACACACACACACACACACACACACACACACACACACACACACACACACACACACACACACACACACACATATGCATGTACGCCGCCCTCACGACTCTTGGGATAAAAATAGTATTGCGTGGGTGACAACAGCACAAACGCAAGGACGTATGGGGACTGGACATATGTTACACACACACACACACACACACACACACACACACACACATTGTATACTGTGTGTATATTAGAGCTGAGGCAGCCTGAATGAAGCTGAAGTTGGAGATTATTATGGGGCCTTATGGAGCCAGCCTCTAGTGGCTGTTGGAGGAACTGCAGGTTGCCACTTATACACATGATGACCCTTTGTTCTATGAGTCTGTTGTGGCCAGTGCGATCTTCTTCACTGTCACATGCTGGGGCAGTGGGCTGAGGGTCGCTGACAACAACAGACTAAACAAACTGATCAGGAGGGCCGGTGATGTCGTAGGGGAGGAGCTGGACACCCTGACGACCGTGGCAGAGAGGAGGATGCTGTCCAGGCTTCAGTCCATCTTGGACAATGTCTCTCACCCTCTCTACGACACACTGGCCCAGCAGAGGAGCACCTTCAGCAGAAGACTCCTCTCACCCAGACGCACTACAGAGCGCCACAGGAAATCATTCCTGCCTGTGGTCATCAATCTCTACAACGCCTCCCTCAGAGAGTCAGACACCCCCCCTCTGTAACCTGACCTCAAAACGTAGACTATTATTCTTTTGCACTTTTGTACATTTGATTTTACTGTACATTTGATCTTGTATATTATATATATAGTTATATATATATATTTATTGTGCTGAATGTTGTATATATATATGTTGTTTGTATAATATGTTGTTTGTATATCTGGAGTGTTGAAAGGAAATTAATTTCCCCCTGGGATTATTAAAGTATTTCTGATTCTGATTCTGATGACATTAAAATGTTTTATATTCTTTGTACTCCTGACAGTAGAAGAAAAACACCATAAATACAAAACATATAAAACAGAAACACACAGAAACCACAAGAAGCTAATTTTAGCTCTACATCAGGGTAACCTAACCCTATTCATCGTTTCCTTTAAAGTCCTTTAGTCCATTCAGGGAAGTAACACGATCAGACAGTCTTATTGAAACCACTTATCAGGAAGTGAAACAGAAGGCAGAAAGTGAATGTTTGACATGTTTGAAGAAGTTAATGTAAAACACAGACTGAGCTTGTTGGTGGTTTGCTTTGTTTACTGCAGTTTCATTTTACTGAGTTTGACTGTTTATATTATGTAAATCTACATTAAAGCTCCAGAGATCAGATATATAATATTCATAGGTAAGTTTTCAGTACTGTATAATCACCTGAATATAGGAATCATTGTGTTATTTTACCTTACAATTTACATTTTTTGTGTCGCGTTTTGTGGCCTCTGTACTTTCTCCATCGTACTGGGAAGAGGAGGGTGAACCGAGGGAGTTGCAATCTGCAAATACACCGTTAGATGCCACTAAATCCTACACACTGGACCTTTAAGTTGCTGTAGTTTCATTTGACTCTTTTTTGTTTTGTTTAAGGATACATTTTATTTTGAAAATCTAGATTAAAACAGGAAGTGAAAATATAAAAGATGATTTTCTTTCAAGTTGGTGCAGAAATGAAAACAAGATCCTGATTGTTCAACTAGACTTTGAACATCTCTCTCTCTCACACACACACACACACACACACACTTGTTGCTTGTCTGAGTGAGCAGTGAGGATTATTATAAACTGATTATGGTTGATCAGATATGAATGAATAGGCTCTGTGTGTGTGTGTGTGTGTGTGTGTGTGTGTGTGTGTGTGTGTGTGTGTGTGTCCATTCACAGTGACACAATCGTTGCATGAAAGTGTATCTGAGTGTCTTGTTTCAGGCAGAGAGGGAAAGCCGACCCAACAGCATCAACATACTCATCCTGAAACAAGGTAAATGGGAATACACACTTAAATATGCAAAGACACACACAGTAACACACACACACACACACACACACACACACACAGTAACACACACACACACACACACACACTCAGAGGTCACGGGCAACCATTATATTTGAGTGAGTCTTAATCTACTAAAAGCAGACAGGATCACAGGCATTAAAGCTCACTCCTAAAACACTAAACACACACAAAAAACTGCAGTGTGACGCTTTTCTGTGGTCAAAACCACACACACTAACACACACGCACACACACACACACACACACACACACACACAGTTATTTTAAGTAGATTTGTCCAGTAAAAAAAGCAGTGAAGGGCACCAATCTACGAATATATCCAGTTTAAAAGCATTTAAATAAACAGGAAACAGAGCAGAACACAAATCAAACCACGTCAATCACAAATACTCAGCAGGGTTTCTGTTTCTCCTGCACGTCACAGTTTGTCCAGTTAAAGAAGAAACATGTGTTTTACTCAGTGTCGACATGTTAACGTTACACAGATTCTCAAAAGCAGAGAATAAGAGAAAGAATAAGAGAAAGAATAAGAGAAAGGATGCAGAGATTCTCTGATGTGACCCAAAGACGCTACAAGCTACAGATCAGTGTTACAAAAGGTCGACTGTTATCAGTCCACCTTAACTCCCAAGAGTATCCAAGTTTAAAGCTCTAATCTGTAACATCATCCTCATCAAACAGTGTATAAAGCTCTGGCTCTATGTTCTATATGTAGTTGAGTTCTTCCATTATCCCAAATGTTTCCAACAATGTTCAAACTCAGAGAAATCTGTCATTTTATTCAGGTAACGCTGCGTTTCACCGGTCGCCTGTCGATGGCGTCATATCCCCTTTGTGCCTGCGTCAGCGTTGTGGTTGTCTGCCAGAAGCTGTCATACATTGACTGTTGATCCAGTGTGAAGCCACATTGTTACCATCCTCTGTTTAGATCTTGGTGCTTTTTAACTCTAGATTTGAACCGGATGAAGGATTTTAGTCATCGGACGTCTGGATCTTAAGTTATCAGAGAAACAAGCTGAGCTAACGTTAGCAGCAGCTCGGCTCGCAGCCCCTCCCGGGACGTCCTTTGTCTGTCCAACAGCGTGGGAGAAGCAGTGATTGTTAAGGTGGAACTGCTTTATTCAGTGTGTTTAAGGTGGAACGGCTTTATTCAGTGTGTTTAGTGGTTTTAATCAGCGGGTCTGTTTGTGTTGGAGAGGAGGAGACCTCTGTGGATCATTGGGCTCCCGGTAGAAACCTCCTGAACCATGAACACTGAAGGAATCCTAACCGGGAGAAGCTGACTGCAATGACGCCAATGGTGGTGAAGACAACAACTCCCATGATCCCTCACTGCTTCACCACCTCATCGAGAGAGCCCCCCCCCCAGTATTAGAAACTACGGACTGTATCTTTAAGTAACAAGGTCGAAGTAATTAAAGTCAATCACAGTTAGAATGACGCACTGATTGATCGATGATCGATCAATGATCAATCAATGATCGATCATTGATGTGTTAAAGCCTGATCAGTGCAGCTGAGTGCAGCTGCTTCTACCACCTACTCTCTACTCCTTCCCTTTATCTAACCCTTTCTCTTTCACCGTCTCTGGAACTAATCTCCCTCCTCTTCCTCCTCCACTCTCTCCTCCTCTTCTCTGCATCACGTTCAGTCCTCTCAGATCTTCCCCTCCCGTCACCTCCTCCCCCTCTAATCTCCCTCTTCTTTTTTTGGTCTGTTTGCTCCTCCTCTTCTTGTCATCCTCTGCTCTTCTTTCTCATTCTCCCCCCTTGTCTCCTCTCCTCCTCCTCCTCCTCCAGCAGAGGTGGGTTGTCAGCGTTGCTATGACAACGGCACAGCGGGAGCATCGGCAGCTCATCCAGTAATTATACTGGTAGTGTGTGTGTGTGTGTGTGTGTGTGTGTGTGTGTGTGTGTGTGGTTCAGCAACTTTACAGTAAACTGTAAATGCAGTTACTTAGACTGAGGCCTCATCACCTCATGTGGGATGGAGCACACACACACACACACACACACACACACACACACACACACACACACACACACACACACGATGATGTAATGGCAGTAATTCCTCAGCTGTTTGCTAAAAGCAGATCCTGGGTGATGCTAGGGGTCAGCACTCACTACAGGAGGAGCTGTTTATGGAGCTCAGTACTATTCAGGTGAATCAGGTGGGAAGAGAATAAGCCTCTCGTGGTCGCTGATGGCAGACAAGCCTACACTAGCGTAATGCTCTCCACGCCGCCGCTGTGTATCCAGTTGTGTGTGTGTGTGTGTGTGTGTGTGTGTGTGTGTGTGTGCCCGTCTCAACGCGGCGAGGTTCGCTGATAAAAGTCAAAGCAGAAAAGTTAAGAGCAGCAAACGTAACAAGCAGCTGCAAGTGGGAGGAATGGACGTGTGCAGCAGATTGTGATTACGTGGGAGACGTTGGTTGACAGAAGAGGCACAACTGCAGCAGTTCAGACCCCCCCCCCCAGACTCCCCCTCTGGCTCACACTCTTTACAATATAAGACAGAGCTTCATTGTTTAATGGAGGCTCAGCTCGCTGTGATGGTGTTGTTGCCGATATGGTGCTCATTTTGCCACAGCTCAAACTAACATACAATTAAAGTTTCCAGTCATTTTAATTCATCTCCATCATTATCATGGATAACTACTCTGTACATCTCCAGGTTTTACATCGGGAACAATGTATTTATTTAGCAGGTCCAATGAAATACAATGAGAGTTACTTTTTTGTCACCAACTAATACTTTGTTACAGAACGTCTGGGTTTTTTCAGGTATCTGTACTTTTGTTTTTACTTCCTACATTTGTACACAGATATTTGCACTCCACTTACATTTTCATTACTTTAGTTTTAATGCATTTAAGGGAAATGATTGCAGCTTTTCTGTGGGGTTTTTATTCTGAAAATAAAAAACGACAACTAAAATCAACCCGTTTTGTCTCCATACTCATAAATGGTAGTTTAATGGTAGTAAAATAGAAGATCTGTTGGCCGCATGGTACGCTGACCGTCGTCCTAACATAAGGACCGATGCATATCACTGTCAGGGAAATAAGAGTCCTTTTTAGAATCAGTACTTTTACTAGAGTAAAGAATGTGAGTACTTCTGTGAGACTAAACAGCTGCACACACACTGACAGCTCGCCACCAACAGAAACAGCTCACAGCAGCCAGAGTCTGACATTTAGACCGGCTCATTGGAAGCAGCGTTGGTTTGTTTCACTCGTGTTAACCTGTGTTTCGCTGTAATAATCCGTGTTCCAGGCAGAATTTCAAAGGTTAACGCAGCAGCCACTCACCTGTAGCCGAGAAGCCGGTGAAACCATCGCACCTTTTTCACCCTCCCACTCCTTCCTCCTCGTCCACCTGCTCCAACATTGATCATTATTACTCTAAAAGGTTCCCTCGCTCTTTCTGCTGCTCCAGCGCCGCTCAGACAGCCGGCAGTTATTTCCCCGCGCACTCACAGCACGGCTCAGGTAATTATGCCAATCAACCTGACAGGCAACAGAGACCCGACACCAGACATCTGAGCTCTGTGCTATGTAACAATGTGTGTGTGTGTGTGTGTGTGTGTGTGTGTGTGTGTGTGTTTTTTTGATTCGGGTTGAGCTCACGTAGGTAGTACAGAGTTACGATTTAGCTCGAGATTAGACCTGGTTTCAGATCAGGCTTTAGACTGGCAGCAGTGACATTAAGGTTATAGGAAATGAATGTTAGTCAATGGAAGGAAGAGTGTGTGTGTGTGTGTGTGTGTGTGTGTGTGTGTGTGTGTGTGTGTGTGTGACCTGTGGTGTCCAATGAACTATGACACTGGATCCACTACACCTCCATCCTCAACTCCACCTCTGCTCTGCCTCTTTTTGTTAGATTAGAAAAGAAATCAAACTGATGTTAAATATGGTTGAAGACACACACAGATGTTCTAGATATTGTCTGTTTGTATATTTTATATATTGTATTGTCTCAAGGCTTCATTCCAGTTATATGAACTGATATAAAGTTATGTTGAGTTAGCATCGGCCACAGATCCAAATAATAAAGGCTTATTATTAGTTAGGGCTAATAACACTTTGTCAGTCAGTTAGCGGTCCTATTAGCCAACTGCAGGCTCGCAGTACTCCACTAGCACTGGAGCTTTGGTAGCTGCCAGCGGGGGTAAAGAGGGCAACAGCAGCCTCCCAGTGACTTCAGCCGGGGCTGCATCGTACGATCAGCCCACCAGGATTAGTTTCAGTGAAGCTGGAAGTTATTAAATACAAGCAGAAATGTTAACAGTTTAGATGAAGGAACGTTATCATATTAATGCAAACTCTTAATAAAGTCCAGCTGCTCTGATGAAACCAGAGACATTACAGAGAACTGGGAACAATATAATTATCTCATAATATAACTCACCTAAAACCTCTTCCTGTTCTCATGTGTGAGAATATCTGAGAGCATATTCATCCCCAAACAGCGTCACATTAATAACACACTGTTATTGGACAGTTAAAAGGATAAAAGGTGATATTTTAACGGTCTTTCTCCTTCCTTTCTTCTGCTGCTCTCCATGTTCTGCCTCCTCTCTGTGTCCTTTCCCCTCATCATTCCCTTACAGGTGAACCTGCTCTATTTTTGGAGCATTACGTAAGAGATAACCTGGCAAAGGCAACCTGAGAAAGCCATGCAGACAGTGCATGAGCTCATGCTTACACACACACACACACAGACACTTATCAGTTATATTAAGAGGCCTGACTGTTGGTGCAGTTCGACTGATATGGGGATTTAAAGGCCAAGAACTTTTTTTTTTTAGGCTTTTTATGCTGATGGAGAATTTAATTCTTGACAGTTGCCTGGAAAAAACCCTCAGAAACTGCATTCCAGAGGATTTAAATGTCTCCTCGTGACCAAAAATAGAAAAATACAAGCACTGACGAACACTTTCTCAAATGATACGATGCTTTTAACACAAGGGTTTCCACCAGAGAGAGAGAGAGAGAGAGGGATTGCTCCGCTGTGCTACCATGGAACAGATTCCCATTTATAGCTTCACAAACATTATTGATATAAAATAAGGTTAATAGTTTAAATAATTAGGTGTGTGGTTTGGAGCCAAGGTTGGGCCATCTTTGTCACTTTAGTTTGCTAATAGGTAAATAATATTGGCTAGAATCTGGTGATATGATACGAATCACCATACAGAGGTTACGATACAGTATATTCTGATATATTGTGATACTGTAAATGACACTTTTTATTTGTATTAACACAGTCTCAGGTAATGAGCCCCGCTGCATCAGTGTTAGTACCAAGCTTTAATCCATATTTTAATGGCAGCCACTTAATAAGGAATCAATCAGCTAACAGACGAATCGAAGAAGAGCTGTTCCGATATCGATACCAGTGTCGGACATTGCTGTTTTTCCCAGGATAGCGAAGTCATCAGCCTCCCTGCTCTGACTCTGACGAAGGGTTGACCTCGCCATACAATGCTAACAACCATACAGGCTCTGTTAAATAACCCTCCTCATAAATACTAATATATTTAACACACATGTATCAGAATCAGTATCAGGAAGGAATAAAGGGATCAGAACATCACTAAATCCGGTCTGCAGCACTGATGATCTCAGCCGTCTGACAGAATTATTCATCAAACCATAAACGCTCTACAGACTCCACTCCACTGAGTGCACATTAAATAATCACCAACTGAAGGTGAGTTCATGGCCATGCTGGATAATCTGCTATAATTCTGCTATATGGAGAATTATAACAAAGTATGATGATTTGTTTTGTCAGCTGGGCGAAATATCACAAGCTAATGACGACGTACTGCGAGTTCAGCTGCTCTCATTGGCTGATTGGAGGAGAGAACGAGTCATCAACAGAATGGATGGATGGATCCATATCTGATCAGCACTGTTCGACAGTTTGATCTGAGTTTGGTTGAGCTGGACGGACTCACTGAGAATGAGCTGTCAATCACAAGGTAGCCCCGCCCTAAAGCATACCCTGCTTTATGGTCTGTTTTACTCTAAATGGGACCATCAGTTACTAAATGAACATCATGCTGTATGGAAGAAGACTGAAACTAGAGACTGAGACCAGAAACTCATCAGGAAACTGTTTACTGA